GTTTTATATAACCTACAGGTATGTTTTCCGGAGTTACTTTTATGTATAAAGAATTGGACACATGAACTAAGGTTTATCAATACATGTATATATGAATTTCAATTAATCGTTTTGTCAGAATACTTTTAATAACAAATTAACACTATCTTTACGGGGCTTTTGTCTTTTTCTTTTTATTCTTGGTTATCAATGAGAGTTAATTCCGTCTCTATTCTAACATTGTACTTATATATGACATATTGAAGGCAAGAGGAACAGAAGAAAACAGCGCATTACCCCTGCCTGATGACCATGCTTAAATGGTTGACAAAACAGGGATTAGGATGGACAGCAAAAACACAAAATTTAAGAGCTAAGACGGATAGAAGACTGTTCAGAGCCGATATCCTGAAGGCACATAACATATAGAAGAATTCACTAATATGATGCGTTTTCTCAGATGATTTATTTACGTCTACAACGAGAAGAACAGAAGAGAACTAGAAATCCTATCGGGATTTATTAATAGGGAACACAACAAAATAATACACGAGGAGGACACAGTGCTGGTACCGGACATCGAAAACGAACTGTAGTAACTCCTAGGCAAGTTGATAAAGGAAGGTAGTAAGAAAAGTCTAATCACCAATCATAAAAAAAATAGTGGATATGGTTATAAGAGCGGAAGATGCTATCCAAAAGATAAGCAAAGTATGAAGAAACAGGAAAATTTTGTTAGAAAAAAAAAGATTGCAAAACATTTGTCTATATTTCTGAGATGAGGTATTGTAATTATTTACATTATTTACATTGTTCGGACTGATGTCCTCATCTTTGTTGACATATTCACGACGTTTCCTCTGCTGTAAGCTCCGGCCTTCTTCAGGTGATTGGAATTTCGAACTGAAATCTTTATCAACAAGCAAACGCTTTAGATATAAACAATGGATATTATGCCTGAAATCATAGTTTTATATAACCTACAGGTATGTTTTCCGGAGTTACTTTTATGTATAAAGAATTGGACACACGAAATAAGGTTTATCAATACATGTATATATGAATTTCAATTAATCGTTTTGTCAGAATACTTTTAAAGACAAATTAACACTATCTTTACGGGCCTTTTGTTTCTAATTCTACGTCCCATGCCTCTTCCGGGTGTCTCAGTATCAGTTGACTTCTTTAAACTCTACTCTCCAAGTTTGTTTTTTTTTATTCATCACAACTGTAGCCAGGTATTGAACTTACAACTCTTTGGGTCAAGTCACTCGATTAATTCAACCAACGCTTTTGTCCACTGGGCCATGTGTCCTTAAGGAAACGTCATGAATATGGCAAGATGAGGACAACAGTCCAAACAAAGTAAATAGCGTAAATAAGTGCTAAACAGTTACGTAATATCGTTCACCCTATACAGTAGTGAATTCTGGGCGATTTCCACATGAGGGCAACAGAAATGTAGATCTACAGAAGGATGCTGAGAATACCATGAACGCAGCATGTGAGCAACTAAAGAGTTTTAGGGTGAATAGAAACAAATATGCTTAAAATCGGGAAGAGACAATTGACATTTCTAGGGTGCATAATGAGGAAAGATGGCTTGGCGAATTGGACACTCACAGGACAGATTGAAGGCGAAAGGGAGAAAGGGAAAGAGAGAACTTGTTTAAATGGATGGTAGAACAAAGAGTTGAAGGAATATTAAGGAGACAAACATTATCTAGTTTTACGAAGAAAAGGAAGATGTGGAGAGTGATAATCACCCACATCCCGAAGGAACACAACACTAAGTGGATGCACTAGACTTTAACAACCTTCATTTTCAAACAAAAGCTGTAGACGAGATGGTTTCGGTGATATTTCTGGTGGCAATTTGCCATCCAGTGTTTGCACCATTACATGACATGGACATATCCGAGTTTCCAGAGAGGAACATGGATAAATTATTAGTGATATGTAAGAAATACCATTGTCCAATGATTGCTTCAGCGTAGATAGATAGATAGATAGATAGATAGATAGATAGATAGAATAAAAATACTGAAGTAGATAGATAAATTTCAACAAACTGAAATAGATATGAACAGACATAGATAGATAGATAGATAGATAGAGAGATAGATAGATTTCAACAAACTGAAATAGATCGATATGAATAAATATAGATAGATAGGTAGATTTGAACAAACTGAAATAGATAGATATGAACAGAGATAGATAGATAGATAGATAGATAGATAGATAGATCTCGTCTGAAGTTATTAAGCAAATCCTATAAACTTCAATAAATCACACTTGATTTGAAAAAGACATGTCAAATTTTAAACAATCAATTTATATGTGAAAACAAAGCCTGAGTTAAATATTTAGGTCGTATCAATATGTGTTTTTGAAGTTCTTTGTGAATTCTAAAAACCCACTGCCGTCTGAAGTTATTAGGCAAAACCAAATAATCACATTTTACTTCAATAAAAAGCTGATAAAATCATCAAAAATTGATCAACATCTATAATGCAACAAATAACAAACAGATATGATAAATCTTTGAATCCCTTGCATTTTAATATCAGTGACCCTTTTTCTCAATAACGACGAGTAATCTATCATCCATTGATGGGTTCAATTTACGACATGCTAGTTTTAATTGCTTCCTATAACTCTGCTTTTCTGCTATATTGTTTGACACGTTGATATAATATTATCTTCACAATTAGCCATAGATTTTCGATCGGATTCAGATCAGGACTTGATGGTGGCTATTCCATTATCTTCTCTCCTGTAAATCTTTTGATGCTTAAAGAATTTACGGTTAAGCTTAGATATATGAGTAGGAACATTGTCGTGCATAAGTACACATTTCACTTTGAAACTGCGAGACTGTGACTTGTGCCATGCAAAGAAAATCGCAATAGTTTAACTCCTTCATTGATTTTGAATGTTCCAATAATGGTTTGGTTGACAATTCCAGCTGATATTATAACCCCACCGCCTTCTTGTTGCCTTCTTTTAGTCACAGGCACATGTGAATTGGAATAAATCCATCCTTTCGCCCATCCATCAGGTCTTTCAAATGTCCCTTGAGATTTGTCCGTGAAAATTACTTTAGAAAAGTTAGTTTTCATGTATTTCTTGGCCCAATTTTGACACTTTAAAATATTTGCTTCAGTGAGAGGGAGTTGTCTCTCGAAAATATTTTTACCGATTCCAATTCACAAAGTATTCTACACCTTTTGTCCTTCTTTTGTCTTACAATTCCAACTTTTTCAAAGATCTGAGCGCTGGGAAGAAGCGATTAATTCGGTATGACTCGCTTTAGTTTAGGGCCATCTCGAGGAAACAAGTTCTTAAAGTTTTTTTCCTTTGCTTTAAGTTCTCACCTTACTTATATTTTCAACAGCTTTCTTTACCATTCAATGATCTCTGCAAAGTTCCTTTGATATCTCCAATGTGGACATTCCTTCACTCAAAAACTTTGATATTTTCTGTTTTTCAGCAGTTGTTAGATCCTTCCCTTTACCCGTGTTTCAACATATATTATGGACAAAAAGAAAAAAAACAAAAAATAGTTTTTTATTAGATTTCAGAGGTCTTAAGCTAATATTAGTTTCATCTGAATATTAACTTCAGTCAGTCCATTTTTGTAAATTCCAAACATCTCAAAAACTAAGCATTAAAAATGTCAGAAAATTTATTTAAATATTTTATTAAGGGTGGATATAGAGGTGTTTAAGTATAACAAATATTCGTTCAGAACTTTTTCAGTTATTAAGGCTTATTTGATTTGCATAATAACTCCAGACGCATCATAGATAGATAGATAGATAGATAGATAGATAGATAGATAGATAGATAGATAGATAGATAGAGTGAGGAGAGAATCCTGTTCAGATAGAGAGAGAGAATCAGATTCATATATATATATATATATATATATATATATATATATATATATATATATATATATATGAATCTGATTCTCTCTCTCTCTCTTTCTCTTTTATATATATATATATATATATATATATATATATATAATTATATATATATTCTTTCTTCTCTTTTTCTCGCTCTCTTATATATATATATATATATATATATAATTATATATATATATATAAAGAAGAGCGAAAGAAGAAACCAGATTTATGGAATTTATATATATATATAAAGAGAGCGTGAGAAAGAGAGAATCAGATTCAGATAGATAGATAGATAGATAGATAGATAGATAGATAGATAGATAGATAGATAGATAGATAGAGAGGGAGAGAATCCTATTCAGATAGATAGAGAGAGAGAGAATCAAATTCAGATAGAGAGAGAGAGAGAGTCAGATTCAGAGAGATAGATCCAGAGCTTTGGCTTTTCTGTTAGAAACGGATTTACAATCCAACTTGTCTGTGGTTTCCTGTATTTCCAAATGCTTTTTTGGCATGTTTAACGTACAGCAGTTCGTTTGTTTCCCACAGAAAATAAATTTTTAAAAAAAAAACTAACAAATGTAATTCTATGGATCTTAGAAAATTGCTTCATGTGTCAACGTTTTTTTTTTCTTCAAAATCCGATCGACCGATTCATCAATTCTATTTATACTCTTTTATTTCGTTTTATTCTTTCCTTTTTTTTATCGATATCCTAAAATCGGATTTGAAGTCCCTCTAAATATTTATCTAGCAGTTAAATCTTATTCAATAAAATAATTGTCATACAAGATTGACCTGATCGATAAAAATAATTGGCTCACGAGATCCCTTAAAAACCATCATCTGATTTTAATTTCATTCGCATAGTCGATCATGTCGAACAAAATTATCTGCTTGAATAAATCCTGATAAGTCAGTCTTGCACTTGTTGAATCTACAATATGTAAGACAGAGAAGACGATTTCTATGAGAAACTCTCATTTCAGATATTAGTTCGTATACTTGTAAAATCCTTCTAACTAATTAGACCGATGAATAACATTTAAATCCTAAAGTATGGTGGTTATTTCGTCAGCCTGATGTTTTGCTGATTTTATAGGTTTCCATTTTGATATTACATGATGGCTTCCCGGAGCAAGAAACGCCTGATTAAGGCCGGATGTTAAAATGGCCGAAACGTTGTATCAACAAAGATGAGGATATTAGTCTGCAGATAAATAATGTAAATAATAATTCCTCATCTCAGAAATTCTAAAAATTCTAGTTTTTCATTCCACGGCGCGTAATGCTCGTAAGAATATAAACAGTTCTGCTTTGAGGATCTGAGGCCGATGTATCGACGTTACCGTCACAAGACAACACGTTCAGTGACACACGACACACATCTGCTTCTTGTGATAATGTTGCGTATTCAGCTTTGACTATTCCACAATGTCAAAAGATACCATGATGCAAAAATATCTCAAATGGTAATATTAATAAAAACCAAAAACGATGCTAATGGTGTATATTAGCTTCGTCAATTTGTGTACTTCGAGTTGGTGTAATGGTTAATGTTGAAGCTTGGATAAGCATGGAATAATAATAATACAACACAAAATGTACGTAAACAAAATGTATTGAAACAAGGAAAAGGTACACAATATTTACAGTTAGTTTTGGTATATTCTTGGGAAGACTGTTCCTGTAGAATGGGTTGACTTAATCGCAGTCGGGCAGAGTCTCTGGATTGGATCTCTTGTTACTCCCCACCGTCTTCCCGGTACCAACCCATATTTATATGGTCGGTACTCCACTATGTAAATTAGGTGGATCGTACCACAACAGCTAACAAGTTTGTCGCGTTAGAAGAATTGTGACTGTGTAGTACGTACATTTCTCAATGGGTGCTTCATAATTCAAGCCACATCTAAGCTTCGTATAGTAAATCACCATACTATATAGGTTCACAAAATATATTTTACTTACTCAAATGTAAAAACAAGTTTCAGGAAGCAATTCACAAAAGTAAACAACAAAAATAAAAGTGATATCATGTCAGAGTCAAAAGGGAACAGTAGCCATTAAGAATATAATTTTGTCCACTACGATGGCAACCTGTCTCCCGGAGAAAGAAACGCCAACCTACTGCGGGAATATCTTCTGCCTCGTCAGTCATAAATCAAAAGAGACATGATCGCCCAAGTGTGCGTCACTTAGCTGACTGAATATATGAGAAGGGTCCTAGGAACACTCGTCGTAAACATTCTTGCCATAGGAAAACTCTTCTCGGGAATTTTCGCCGTAGGAAAGACCGCTGTATAGGATTTTTGCCGTAAGACATTTTCGCCGTATTTTTTTAATATGCTAAGTTCCTTATTATCAGACAGAGAGAAAAAACCTTGTATTTAACGTGCTTGATTCTTGTCAATTAGCGTTCGTGTGTATAATTCATATGGGAATCAAGATTCACATACATACATGAATGGGTCGGACAGTGTGCATTTGCATTCAGTGCAAACGGGGGAGCAATAATTGAAGAGTAGCAAATAAAAATAGGAACTAGACGAGATATGCCTAGACAGGAAGTGTGGAACGAGAACAATCTACTCCCGAGTTTAGTTCAAATTCCCTGATCAATTGACTTGTATATGATCGATATCAATAGACTGGTATCAATAGACAGAAACAGAAGGAAATAATTGGCCCAAGGAACATTCGCCGTAAACATTTTTGCCGTAGGAAAACTCGCCTCAGAATTTTTCGCTATAGAAAACTTTGTTGGATAGGATTTTTGTTGTAAGACATTTTCGCCTCATTTTTTTTAATATGTGAAGTACTTTTTTATCAAGTTTTAGGTTGGTGCAAAAATAATGGCGTAATAATGTCGTTTTTTGACGTTAAAAAATACGTCAAAAAACGGCATTATTACGTCATTATTTTTGCACCAACCTAATATATCTGGCTCACACTATTGTTGCTTCGATTGAAACATTTTAACAAGCGAAGTTATACTAACATACAACCATATTTGTAGACCCCAATTGAAAAAAAGAAGAGGCATTAGCAAAAAACAATAAGTGTGATTTCGATCAAGGAGATGCAGTAGAAATGATGAAAATATATTTTGATATCAATGCAAGACTTCAGCGGAAAATGATTCCTTACAGTCCAACGCAAAAAAACACGTTATTTACGAAGCATTGCTTGGAATTTACACACATTTTAAATTATTTCTTTGTTAATGTGATATATTTTTAGTCTTTTATTTTTTAAATAAATGTTTACTTTTTAATTTCTTTTCTGATGTTTGACCCTGTAAAAAAAGACATCCATATATACTTGATAACAAGGTACTTCGCATATTAAATTAAACATTACTCAAAAAAATTCCTGAGGCGAGTTTTCCTAAGGCAAAAATGTTTACGGCTAATGTTCCGTGTAAGTCCAAGAAGCGTCCCATATTATGAATTATTTGTTTGCTTTAGGTAAGCGGAGAGCTTTACAATTCATCTACATGGCAAACTGGAGACCTTATTAACTTTTATAAAAATTTATTAATTTTTTTTTTTATATTTGCGATCTGAAGTGTTTAATCTATAGAAATATGAGAAGA